CCGCTGCATTTTCAGTAGTTCCTCACTTTCTCAAATCACATCATGTTACTTATAGGTGAACTGAAAGTAAATGAAAACTCCACGGCACGCACGAAAGCTTGGTTAGTCACTAGGGTTATGAGGAATTGCCCTGGTCGAGAGTCCGCTCAGAGAGGGATAAGGAGGGAGTAGTGTCGTTGGTACGGCGACAGCAGAAGCAAAATTCTTTTCAGAGGATATCACCTGATTTATGCACATTGTGGATCCGTGAACCTGGTCTAGTCCATAGTACCAGACCACATACAGCGATGGGTGGAGGTGAAAAACGAATGGCATCTTGAAGGAGCATGAGCAACTGGAGGACTCTGCTGCAGGCGCACTACGACTGAAAGCGCATACACGGGCATAGAGTAAGACTTCTCCATGATGTTCACCGCCCAGGCGAGCTTTCAGGCTGTGGACGATAATGAAAGTGAAAGAACACGCACCTCCCTGAACCTTAGCAGCACATCTACTGCGCGGAGAATCCTATCTTGGAACTACTTCTTCCCAACCTTGCTATAAGCGGGACGTATGCCGCAACATAGAGAGGATGACAGTGCTCCAAATGAGCTGTTTTCTCATGCTTTTGGCTCGCTCGAGTCTTCAAACAGCGCGCAACTAGTTTCGCCGTAAGCTTCGAAAAAAATCACGGGGAATTCTTGTCAAATAGCTGGTCGGAGGGAATATGAGTGCCTTCGCAAGAAGTGGATTCTTCTAGATTCCGGCACTGCGTCGGAGGGGAGGGTTTGTCGTGTCACAACTGTCACAACAAAAGCGTATTTTCTGAATAGCAGGGCTGACGATTCTGTGACGCATTCTTCAGAAAAAGAACTTCCTTTGGAACCTGGCACTGGTTTTGGTTCTAGAAAAAGTCACATACGAAAAAAGTTATTTGCAAAAAAGATGATGGTGTTCAGAAAAGATACTTCCGTAGCTTTCCCTGCTCTGCTCTACGGATCACGGCTTGGGCATGCGCTGCACCTTGTGGACATCGGAAGGAACGCTGGCGGACGCTAATCGTCGCTGGCGGACGCTGCTACAAAGTATGAATGCAGCCCAAGTCTGTTGCTCGAAATGGCTGATGATGTGTACCCAGTCGGTTTTTGCCCAAAATTCTCAGCACTAATGACAAATTTTAATCTTACCACATGGGAGACAGATTTCTGTGCAGGCAGAAAAAGTGCGACACTGATGAACCCAGCTGAGGCTGATAGACATCGTTGTCAGCCTGTTTCCGATGTTGGCTTTCAACCATCACTCTATTGAGCCTCATTTTCGAGACGAGAAAGTGTGAGTTACCTATAGACTTGCCATCAGCTCTTGAAAACTGCGCACTCACCATCCCGGATCCTGGTCCCTGCGCAGCTGCACCAACCTGCCACATTCCTCGTTCGAAAATGCACGTTTGCGGAAAAGAGCGTAAAATGATTGCACATCGTTGCACATCGGCGTAAAATCTTGAAAGCTGGCTCAGCTTCCGAATGCTAAGCCCAAGCAGTTATGGCTGCTAGGTGGGCGAGGGCATTTTCTTGACAAACGGGTAGCGCCATCTTCTAGTATTTTTGAGCTGCGAAATCAGTACATGCTCCACCTTTGTCGACAAAGCTACGATATCCAGTGAGGGCTAGGAACGTCAAATGATGAGGGCTAGGAACATCAAATGAATGCGGGAGTTGACTTTGAAGGCGATATGCGCAGTAGAGGCAATGGCGCAGGCAGCGTGCATAGTGAGGACGTGAAAAGTTCAATACCTATGGAATTTCTCCTTCACCCAATGCGACCTCCACGACTAAAGGACTTTCTCTTCCACCCAATGCGACCTCCACGACTAAAGGAATTTCTCCTTCACCCAATGCGACCTCCACGACTACATAGGATGCGTGATGTGATCTCCACATTTGTTATCGAGAATTGTCCTTCGCTCCACCAACAGCACCTGAGATCGTCGCATTAGCAGGCGCGCGAAGCCCACTGGCGCGACGCTCGCTGGCGCAGAGAATTAGATTTCCTTGGCATATCGCCAAATTTGCGCGTCTTTGGCTCCGCTGTCTCGCCATTTCCCAGTGACGAAAGTGGACTCCGCGGGTACAACGATGCCAAACGCACAGAGGCATTCGCCGACTACTTGATCGAGAAGAACCTTTAACCACAACAAAAGTTCACCACTAACAGTGTACTTCCTCTAGCGGAAAGCAAAGCAGCGACTTCTGCTTGGAGGATTATAGGGTTCAAAATGTAACGGCGATGCGAAACGTGACTGTATTACGAAACCCACATCTATTATTATCATGGAAATGTTTTTGCTATGTATCTCCTGTCAATTTATGATGTTTACGTGCGTACTTTGGTGTAGTTATTACTGACAGGCTGCTAATAAAAGGACGCCGGATGTGCTCAGGGTGTCATCTCATATCCCGAGAACGATGACTTCTGCAAGCTTAGTCGCTCTGGTATGTAACATTTTTCTACTTTAATCGCTTCGCTATTCAGTTGAGGTCATAAAGCGGTAGAGGAGAAGGTAAACTGTTCGCCGTTGATCTATCCCTTTTCGAATGCGGCATGCATTCTACTTCCATTCAGAATCGTAAAGGGCTTATTGAATGTGATGTGGCCTATAGAACGAGTTATGAGCGCCAGCCGATGTGCAAGTCAGTGTTTCATCCTCCCTAACGAATGTGGTACCACATTAACGTACCCGGAGAGGAGAGCGCTTGGTTGACTGGCGAGAGTTGATCCGCATCTAAACACGGGACCGCGCTGGTGATAGGCGAGAGATGTGCAAACATCCTCTTAGAGTAGGCTTCTAGTGCAAGCTGGAACTGGTGGTCCCAGTCTAGCACTAGAAGTCTTTCCTACAATTAAACCTGTCTGGCAGGGGTGCATTCGCGATTTGTCCTCAGACCGCGCGCGTGATGAACGTAACCATCACACTATTCTGCCACCGATCACATATCTTTTTGGAGTTATCGCAACACGGCAAGAACTCATCGTCAATGAGGATGTATGGTTTTCTGAGCTACAACGAAGTCAGTTGAATAGGATTGTGATAGATTGCTATGCTTTTTTTACCGATTGTCCTCGAATGCAAATTTGGTGGGAAACGACGCCCTGCGAAACGCAGCTCACCTGACATGGATGCGCACAACTGGAAGCTCTCATTGGTTTCGATTGACAATCTGTACAATTAACATGATGTTTAAGATTGTGTTCCTACTACCTGCATGCTCCGGCAACATATTTAATTATGCTCCAACCATCGTCACCCATTTGAGTGAGTCACTTTCTGAAAGCTAAGGATTCATTGAACGGGCATATTTGTGAGAATTGTATTTGTTGAGGAGTACTTCCGAAATGTCCTATGACACGTGACGATTCGCTGTCAACGATGCGGGCTGTGTTCTACGCTGGCCACAACGCCTTCCGCCAGAAGGTCGCAATAGGTGAAAAAGTGGCCGATATCGAGTACAATAACTCTCCCCGTCTGATGTCAGGAATGGTAGGTCCTCCTTTCAGCATTTTGAAGACAGACCCGAACTCAAGCAATTCGTGATCGTCCACTCTTGTGCAAGAGTTCATCCCAGACTCAGAGGTTCTCCCTCATTCACTACGCTCCTGTGAGTGAGGGGGGGGGGTGCCAGCCGTAGAAGTTTTGAGAACTGACGTCCGCTTTAAAGGCACGGTCCGCGATCAGGTATCGAAGTTGAAAATATTGGCGTATGAGATGTGGGAGATGGAGGTAATTGGGCACGTACAAACTGGGATCAAAATGGGGTTCTATCTAGAGCAGGTGGCATGTTTTTTGTGCTTTTTTCTTCACTGTCGAGTTACTCACCCCCTTGTCGTCTATATGGAGCCCCCTAATCCACTAGCTGGGATGGCGATAATCGCGGATTCTGCCTTTAATGAAAGCACCTACCAACGAATTTCTCTAAGAAACGCTTAGTTGTTGTTCGATAGGGCGGCAATTAGTCCTAAGTGCTTGTCCGTTTGCCGATCGTGCCTGTGGTCATGAGTAATTCTATTTTCGTCTAACACTTTCTGTCATGTGGTGCTTATACAGTCGAACAGTTCATTTCGCCAGGTTAATCACTGATGAAGTGATTGCTTTGGTGCAGTGGTTCGTCAGACGGCACATTCACTCTCAATTTTATACAAGACGCATCCCAGGGCTGTTTCCTGTATTCGATTTGTCTCTTAATCGGGTCTCTCATTGTATTTTCACTGCTAAATGATATTTAGGTATCATGATATCGAAGTGATGCGAACGAAGGATAATTCAGCCTTCTGCGGGACGATATAGCTCTGCTATCTTGAAACGAGCCCACATGGAGAGGCGGTGGGGCTGCTGGAGATCCTTATTTAGGGAGCGCCTGATTTTTTTGCTATACTCACCCTTGAATAGTACCATAAGTTCTTCATCGAAAGCAGCTACCCACGCAATCGCTGGCTTTGACCTTCAGAACTCTAAAGGTTTTAGAGTGTTCCGCAATGATAAGGTCAAGAAATGTAGAACTGCTGAAAAAATACACAGCACCATTGGAAAAAAGTGGTGACTATAAAAAGTGAGGAGCAGATGACAGCTCATATGCTCCTCACATTCTCTCATTGATTATTTGTCACACAAACATGGTGCACTTCACTATACGAAATGATTATATCGCAAACGAAGGAGTGCGCGCGGAGTGCCGGGAATTTGAGTGCAGTCAAATCAGCTTTTCTAACGTACGATGCCATGCTGATCCAGGAGAATGTGGGGAGAGGGGAACGCTATCCTAGCCGCTCTTCTCGAACAGCAATGAACCTCGTACTGTACAGTGAAACAACGATGAATGCACTATGAGCTTGGTTCGGCTTGGCATTGAATGGGTGGAAAAAGCTTAGTTTTTCGAAAGAAAGTAAAAAGCTCACAAATGTACATTCACCTGCAGACATACGATTGCGACCTGGAACAAAGGGCGAGGGAAGTGCTAAATTATGGTCCAAACTATCCAATGAGCGGATATTCCATCAATTACAAAGAAGGGTAGCGACTTGTTTCTCATCACTTCTTTCCAGAAAACTAGTTTGATATCATTTAGCCCAGTTATAAAGGCTGCTAATTGGATGTATGAGTTGGCAGATGTGGTGGACGAATGGACCAAAGAGTACGACTCAAGGACACGAGTAAGGGTCTACCGTACACTCATCAACTGCTTTCATATGAAACCTTCTAAATTTTCCAGCTTATGCACCCATATGCACCTTATATGGGATGTGCCTATAGGCACCCGGCGGGACCTGATGGAAAGAGCCTTTGGTTCAAACTAGCCTGCGTCTACACGAATGATCGGTTTGCGATCATATATGAAATCAGAGAGTTGTCTGTTTTGAATACCATCTTTCCAGTCCCAGAACCGATGTACCCAATACGGGAATGGCATGCAACAAGAAAGAAGACTGCTTATATTTCGGACATGATTACGATTGCCTCGTCAATCTTTGTTTTGCTCCAACTCGTACTGCTATTTATAATTGATTTCTCGAAGTCCTTTCAAAGGATTTGACCGGAGAAACTTTTCATTGTTCGCTTGCCTTTGCCTATTGCTTTCCACTCTACATTATGATCGACCCAGTAGTAGGTGATGGTTCTGCAAGGAAATAAAGACTCATCTTAACATCCAGTGATCTGGTGATGTTTAAATGCCACGTCTAGTAATGGAAGGCGTGGACTGGCTCTTGATTCATTAGGTTGGCAGGAAAGCTTTGTCACACTTCTTTAGATCTTACTTCCTTTTTAAAGAGAGGCACACAAGACAAGATAATACGGCAATGTTATTGCGAAGTCCTTGCCAGTTTTTGAGCACTCCATGGATGCCATCGCTTCACAGTGCAAGCCGGCCCGACGCAATGTTGGACATCATCTCAAATTCGACGTTGGCTCGAGTCGTATAGCTTTTCTTGGCCAAACAACGATTAAGTACGGGAGGCATCTAGCAGTCAGAAAGAGTCTAGTACTTCCTGCTCTGGGGTAGCAGTCGAAAACAGTTCATGTCGAGAGGTTATACGAGCTCAGCCACTGATGATGTAATGGCTGTGGGGCAAAACTCCGCCAGATGGTATTTTCCACTTTCAACTGTACCGGGCGCATTCGAAGGCTATCTCTTGTGATTGGTTTAGTTTCCGAATGGTGTTTCTCACTAAGTTTTCACTACTGAATGATATTTAGCTCAAAGTGGCGATAAGTTATCCTTCAGGCGGTACGATATAGCTCTAATCCTGAAACGGGCAGCCCGGGAAGGGGTGGCTGCTGCAGATCCTCATTCGAAAATCCCAAATTTTCGCTTCCCTCCCCCTCGATATGGACGTAATAAGCAGCTATTATGGAGTCCACAGTAAGCATGAATCTAATCTACACCGCACAGCATATCATGCCGTGCGGTGTAGATTAGATCCACACAGCGATTCTCTCTACCGAGAGTTTCCAAGAAGAATTGAGGATTCCCAACACACTCATTCAAAACTGCAGCGGGGTATACAATAGCGAATAATGGTTGCAAACTTCGTAAACCGTGATTTCCACCTATTCGGGCCCTTATGGCTTTCCCATGTTGGGTGAAACAACGCATTTATTAGAGCACTCGAGTTTATTTAGACCAAATCCCTGTGAGTAGAGTTGACAATTCCTCTGGAATCCTGCCGTATAAACCTATGAAATGTCTAGAGTTTCTCTTGTACAGAAATTTCGGCTGGGTACGTTAAGTGCAGGAAGGTGCTCAGAAGCCGGGGGGAATTTTCAGGTTGAGCAGCTCGGTTTTCGACCTCCTGTGGCTTTGGGAGGAAATGCAAATAAAGAGGCGAAAGAAACAGCGAACCTAAGAAGTGGGGAGGCGTGGCGATCCACCTTTTGGAGGGGGTCGTAAGGACTTGCAAAATCCCACCAACAATCGATGTGCTCTGGTTTTGACTATTTGAGTTTGCGCCGCAACGTTAAGAGGTAAAAAATGGGCAGGACCAACTGGAATACATCAGCTAACGTTGAACAGAAGACAAGATGAATTGGCAGTGACAGTTGCTCATGGTCTATGCTGCTATTTAATTATCACAAAGGGGTGCTTTCTTCACTCACGATGCCATCCTGGGCCAGTAGCAGATGGTGGAGAACCTGCCTAGCTGCTCTTTTTGAATAATGAAAAAAAACCTGTGTGCTATGAAGTGGAGCAACGAAGGCATATGAGCTCGGTTAGATTTGGCAAATGGTGAAAAAACATTCTAACAATTAGCAGTCGCCTTGAGACATACGATTGCGATCTGGACTATCCGCTGAGCGGATATTCCGTCAACTACAAAAAAGGGTAGCGCTTCTTATCACTTATTTCCAGAGAACTAGTTTGATCTCATTCAGCACAGTTAAAAAAGAGCTGCTAATTGCATGTCTGAGTTGGCAGACGTGGTGGACGAATGGACCAAAATTGTACGATTCAAGGACACGAGTAGGTCTACCGTACACTCATCAACTGCTTTCATGTGGATCCTTCTAAATTTTCCAGCTTATGCACCCATATGCACCTTATATGGGATGTGCCTATAGGCACCCACCGGGGCCTGATCCAAAGACCCTTTTCAAACTAGCCTGCGTCTACACTAGTGACCGGGTTTGTGTTCATACATGAAATCAAAACGTTGATTGTTTTGAAAACCATCTTTCCAGTCCCAGAGCCGATGTACCTCAGACTATGGCATGCAACAAGAAGGCAGACTGTGGATATTTCGGATATGATTACGATTGCCTCGCCAATCTTTGTTTTGCTCCAACCCGCACTGCTATTTATAATTAGTTTCTCACAAAAGTCATTTTCAATGAATATTGAACGGAGAAACTTCTCTTACGATGCTTGGCCTATCGGCGATTGCTTTCCACTAAGGCGGTTGTAGTCGGTACTGGGTTCTTGATATATCTCGCAGACGGTGCTTGGTATGGCCATTTAAAAGGACGGCGGATGTTGGGTGATCGCAGGTACTTGCTCTTGAAGTGATCGTATTCAGTTTCTTTGTTCAGCTCAAGGCATGATGGCTCTAGAGAACTGACTCATACGAAAATACTTCACGAAAACCTATGCCATGTGCAAACAAAGTGAGCAACCGCAATCTCCCCTCCTTTGGGATATGGCATGCGTTTTACTCGCTGCATTTTCAGTAGTTTTTTTGTGAACTTGTTTCCCTCACTTTCTCGAATGCATCATGTATTCATAGGTCAATGAAAGTGTACAACAACACCCAGGCAATGGCACGAAAGTCTGTTATTACTAGGGCTATGAGGAATTGCCCTGGTCGGAGTCACTAAGAGAGGAACAAAGGAGGGAGTAGATAGTCGTTGGTCAGCGGACAGCAAGAAAGCGAAATTATATGGACATAACAGTTTACCATGTCCTTGTTTGCATGGAATCCTGTGCTCCAATCAAAAGGAAAATCCAAATTAAGTCAGCGGCGGGCTCAATGGGCGCGTAAGAGGCAAATTACATTTCCTCTTGCGCGTCTCCCTTTTGCAGCCGGTGCAACCGCGTACTGTAACTCTACATGACAACAGCTTACAAGCGGAATCGTGTGTGTTCATAGCGCTGCCTAGCGCGTCATGGGTGGATCCCTATGCTCTTGCCGGCAGTTGATGCACGACGAATAATGCTTGCCGTGGGCTGGGCTTTGTCGACGTCCAGCAAATTTGTCCGAGGGGCCGGTCACGAAGCTGTTTTCCGTTTTCGTGTGTCCCACAGCTTCTTCTCTTCTTACCTTAGTCGCTATTACCTGTAACAATTGATCTTTACTTAAAAAGCAGAGGGCGCAGTCAGAACTGCAGGTGAAAAGAAATCTTTACATACCATTACTGCGCATTACTTTACATTGAATATAGGCTGTCATCATCACTCGTGCGCAGCAGAAACAGCCGTTCTTGACCAGGTGATTTGGCGTAAGATGGGAAGTGAATTTTTCGTGATAGGGGGCGACGATTGAATCCCTAGTTGTATTCCGAATATTCCCAGTACAGAAACCTGCACGGTGATGCTCACTACTAGTTGATCAGTTTCATGCGTACGGTCGAATTGTGAACTCTCCCCCTTCGCACGTACACAGGGAGAACCCTTACTTTGAAGAAAAAGATATCCCTAGATCCAGCAGAACGCGCTAGCACATTTTGCGTAATGGAGAATGCTGTCGCGTAACGGAGGATGCTGGGAAATTGAAGGAGTCGGGCTATCGAGATCTGAATTATGTATGGCATCAGAAAGACATTTCTTCCGCTAACAACGTCTTCGAGCACTTGGAGAAGAAGAAAAGGCATTATCAAAACATCGTTTGTGAAAACTATATAGCAGGATTGCGAACAGCAAGCGATGTCTCTCAGCTGCGAGAAAGCTCCTTCAGTCTGAAAAAACCATCAAACCTGCCCAATTATCCGACAAAACACCTGACACCTGCACTCAACTTGAACATAGAGTTCCTGCATTTGCGTGCTCTCTGCTCGAGGAACACGATTAACTTCATAACATTCGTTCAAACCTTACACGAAAGTCTGACCATAGCGTCGTCCAGGTGTTCGCTTGACATCCCGTGGAATCCAGTCGGTGATCGCTCTGGTCCAGCGGTCGTCCTCGAACGCATGACGTGTCCAGCCCACCTTATCTTCAAAACCTTGGCAAATGCGGTGGCGTCTCTGATCTTCGATCGTCGGCGGATCTCTCACTTGCGTGTGGCGGGGAAACTCCGAGCATCGCCCTTTCGATGGCGCGTTGAATAACGCCAACCGCATGCTCATCCTGCTTTCGTAGAGTCCAAGTCTCTGAGGCATAAGTCAAAGCAGGAAGGACCGCGGAATCGAAGAGGTGGGCACGGAGCCTGGTGTTCTTCGTCTTCTTCGCTACTCCCTCGATGTTCTTGAAGGCTCCCCAAGCCGCTCGCTTCCTCCTGCTCAGCTCTGGTGCTGAAGTCACTTCATCATATTGAAATTCACGACCCAGGTACACATAATTAGAGCATCTACGGATGGTCGTTCCGATTAGCCTGAATTGGGCATCAGTTTTCAAATTCGGCTGTAGACCGATTTTTCCCACGCGCAGTCGAAATCAGCCAGCATTCGTTCCGCTTGCTCGATGTTTGGTGTTATCAAAACGATGTCGTCAAAGCGGAGATGGTGTAGTTGCCGACCGTCGATCTTCACTCCCATGTCTTCCCATTCCAGTTGACGCATGACGTTCTCGAGAGAGGCGCTGAAGAGCTTGGGCGAGATGGTGTCGGACCCTCTCTTCACATCGATGATGATCTCCTTGTAGAATGGTGAGATCCCGGTCGTGAAGTTGCTGTAGAGCTCACGAAGAATCCTGATGTACTGAGTAGGAATACCCTGGTTGCCCAGGGCTTCGATAACCGCTTCTGTCTCAACGGAGTCGAAGGCTTTCTTCAAGTCGATGAACGTGAGACATAACGGCATCTTGTACTCTCGCGATACTTCGATGAGCTTCGTTACCGTGTGTATGTAATCGATCG